GAGCGGAGGCTGCCGTCTTGTCGTCCGCAGCACCTGTAGTCCGGGGCTCTGCCGCTGGTAGCCCAGAGAGCCTGTTGCGCCTGTCGCCCGTGGGTCCGTTGCTCATGCCGCTCAGAGTTAGCCGCAGAGCCAGTTACTCCAGTAGTCCGGGGCGCTGTCCCGGTAGCCACTGTGCCAGCCGCTCCTGTCGCCCGTGTGTCTGCAGCTTCAGCCGTCGCCTCCCATCTCCTCTCCTCTCACAGTCCCTCCTCCTCCTCACTTGCCCTCTGTGACTGCCTCTAGCTCTGGTTGTGCTTGTGACTTATTCTATGACTTCTTGCTGTGCTGATTATACCCCACTTTGACTATGGGGGTGTGTCAGAATATGTTATTTGTCTAGCCTGCAGTGGGGTACTCAATAGTGAGTAACCCTTTAGGGTTTCCTATTTGTACCAACCTGCCTGCTAGTGCAATCACCCCATTCTGTTTCTATCATTCTCGATCCTGCTTGGCACAACCTTCTAGTCTCACTGTGGCCTAGGCTACGAAGCCTAGGCCCTACTCCTAGTGTTTCTGATATATACGGTACCCCATTCTTTGAATTACGCATAGAGCAAAGCGGATGTGGATGTCAAAACATATTTCTGTTCATTTCACTCTAGGTTCTCTAGGGGTCATTCCTTAGAGGGTACAACCCATTTCTCTCGATAGTCTTGTACCTCTCCCCCTTACCTAATCGACACTCCTTCCTAGTATTCTAACATGGTATTAGAGCTGCAGGAGAGACACACCTGCACTGACCTGGGTGAGCTGCGGAGCTATCTTGGCTTGCAGATCACCCGAGACAGAGCACGGCGCACCATCACCCTGACTCAGTCACACATGGTGCAGCAGGTCCTTCAGCGCTTCCGCTTCACGTGGTCCTCGCCACAGCCCACTCCTCCGTCTACCGGCCACTCGCTCTCAGCTCCACCTTCGGACGAGTCCGTAGAGCCGAGTGGTCCGTACCCAGAGCCTGACGTTTCTTGGGCCGACGACCAGACGACTCAGCGTTCGTCACAGGGTTACACCTTCAGTCTTGGCTCTGGTTCTGTCTCGTGGAGGTCCACTCGTTCTTCTTCTGTGCTTGGTTCCAGCTGTGAGGCCGAGATCTGCGCTGGGGCCATGGCTGCACAGGAGCTACGCTGGCTGACCTACCTGCTGCCGACTTGGGGGAGCGGCCTCGTTCTCCTCCAGTTCTGTACGTCGACAACAAGGCAATGCTTGCCTTGTGTCGCGAGCAGAGACTGGAGCACCGAACGAAGCACATTGCTCTTCGCTACTTTCTTGCGCGTGAGCTGCAGCAGCGTGGTCAGCTGCGCCTTGCTTACGTGGCCTCTCGGGCCAACACTGCTGATGTCTTCACCAAGGCCCTTGGGTCTGGTGATCATCACCGCTTCTGCACTGCTCTTGGGCTTGTGCCCACTCTGCCTCACCTGCTGGTTGCTTGACTTGCTCTTGTTGTACACTGCTATATATCTTTATACCTGCATGTTTACGCTTGCTAGGTTGTGATCAGTGTACTGCCTTGCTATTATAAATTTGCATGTGAACTGGCCTTGTGGCCGCCTAATCAACACTCCTTCCTAGTATTCTAAGAGTGGAAACAATCTGCATTAAGATACAGCCTCTTATGCATGGTGTAAAATGCCTCACAATGATTGCCATATCTAATAATGGGCCGCACTTCTCAAGGCTCACGGCCCTGGTTATCTGAAAAACACATGTTTGGGCCAATTTTGCACATGTTTTCTACAGATATGGCTGTTGTACTACTCTCAGAACCTATGATGGACCAAGCATCTTCTCCGGGACGACTACTTCATCGAACTTCTCAGAGGTAATGACTCCCAATGCAATTGCAGCTTCCTGCAAACCAATTAAAATAATGTCAGCATTGTCCACGAGTTTGCAGCGTGTATTAGCTAAAAAGACTGCATATTACCTTCAGAGTAGTTCCTTCCTTGTGAGCCTTCTTGGCAACAGCAGCTGCCTTGTCATATCCAATGTGCTGCAGAAACGCAACTCACATTGTTAGTGAGACATGGGAACCTTACAGGAACTAAAATCCGATGGGACAGCTGATGCAGGAACTTACCGGGTTCAGTGCCGTAACAAGCATGAGCGACTGAACATCGAAGGCAGAGCAGCACAACACAAACATGGACAGGTTAGCACTCAAGAAAAATGCAAGAGAGAAAAGGTGCAAAACTGACAGTTACACACCTGCTTCATGATGTCAGAGATACGAGCTCGGTTTGCCACAATGCCAACAACACAGTTCTTCTTGAAGGAAAGAGCAGCGTCACCCAGGAGGCGCATAGACTGGATACAAACAAACACGATCCCATTGGCACAAAACATTGGGTTTGTACTGTACAATAGTACAAGATTGTTTCAATAATTGACCTGTCAACACCAGTGAACTATACTGACCTGAAGCAGATTTGCAGCCATCAGTGGCTTGAAGACGTTGAGCTCAAAGTGGCCATTCGAGCCTCCAATCGAAACAGCAACATTATTACCCATCACCTGCCACAAATCATGCATTATCCCCAGTGAGCACACCATAAACTCTGAAGAAACCATGACAACTTGAGTAGACAGTCACCCACCTGAGCGCAAACCATTGTGAGCGCCTCACACTGTGTTGGATTGACCTTGCCAGGCATGATGCTGCTGCCTGGTTCATTCTCAGGCAGGTAAAGCTCGCCCAAACCACAACGAGGACCACTACACACGTGGAGAGAAAAAAAATAGAGACGTACACAGATCCAGTACATAAGTCATGCCAGCAGTGAAGACGAAAATCAAGCTGCTGCGTGATTTCATCGTTTCACTTCTGCATGAAATCAGCTTCTTACTGTCTACGTCAGCGTTTTACTGCATTCTGTGAAGTTATTCTTATCGTGTGGAAACCTAGCCTGAACTACAAATCTCCGCAACTGACCTGCCAAGGAAGCGAATGTCATTAGCTATCTTCATGAGTGACACGGCCACTGTGTTAAGTGCCCCGCTTGCCTCCACGAGCGCATCATGAGCGGCCTGCAATAAGAAGATCGTTCACAAGAATTACTACAAGCGTACTGCCGCACGCACATGTCTCATTACAAAGCTTGTTCTTATAGGGTAAAAGAGCAAAAATGTTACATACCAGTGCTTCAAACTTGTTCTCAGCAGTGACGAAGGGCAGCTTCGTGTCCTCAGCGACAGCCGCAGCAACCTTCACGTCAAACCTGCAAGGATGGCAACAATGACGCGTTGAGGACTTCGCAAGAGTAACGACATCCACAGTAGAAAAAAACACGGGCAGATGGGCACGTGGCAATTTCTAAGATGGCTCACCCCAACTTAGTGTTGAGACCAGTGCCGACAGCCGTTCCTCCTTGTGCGAGCTGCAAGTGGGAACGCCACGTGGTTAATTGCACACACTTCTCGGTAAGAGAACTCAATCAGATGAATGCCACAAGCAGAAATCTACCTGGTACAGGCGCGGGAGAGTGTCCTCGATACGCCGAATGCCATACTTGATCTGCATAAAGCCCATACAAACGATGAGGTTACCTCATGCTGTCACATGTTGTATACTGCATCTAGGAAGAAAACAAACATCCCGTACCTGCGTGGCGTAGCCACTGAACTCTTGACCAAGGGTCAGAGGCGTTGCGTCCTGAGTGTGAGTGCGGCCAATCTTGACGATGTCCTTGAATTCCTCAGCCTGCACCACAGCAACGCAATCCACCCTCAGTAGTGCAGGGTAATTCCATCAAAAGAACATTGCCAACGGTGGAGGAATCACCAGTCTTACCTTCTCAGCAACGGACTCGTAGAGGGACTGAAGGTGCGGAATCAGATTCGAGTGCGCCTCCACAACAGCAGCGATGTGCATCACCTGCATCCGGATCGACGCGCGAGTGAGAATGTGTACTGTAATGTTTCGACGCACGTCAAGTGACAAAATGTATTGTGATCTTACGGTGGGGAAGGTGTCATTGGAGGACTGGCTCATGTTCACGTGGTCATTGGGATGAACAATGCCCTTGTCACCAAGCTTGGATCCCAAAATCTCCGCAGCACGGTTGGCAATGACCTGAACACAAGCATGTTACGAGAGCTTATTTCCAGAGCGCCGGGACTATACCAAACATCAAGGGGACTAGATAAGAGAGCAACCGTACCTCATTGGCGTTCATGTTGGATTGAGTTCCGCTACCAGTCTGCCAGATGACAAGGGGAAACTGGTCCATAAGCTTCCCGTCTGCGACCTCCTGCGAGGCCTGAATGACCGCATTCCCAATCTTCGGATCCAAACCGTAGCCGAGATTGACCTGCATGAACGGACGCAAACTCCATGAGGTTCGTCATTTACTCAACCTTCACTACCACAAGGTCAAGATCCAATCTAGACGAGAGAAGGACGACGTTCGTACCTGTGCGCAAGCTTTCTTGAGAATCCCGAATGCTTTCACAATCTGATCTGGCATCCGCTCCCTCTCTCCTCCGATCTCAAAGTTCTGAAGGGATCGCTGAGTCTGCGCTCCCCAGTATCTGCAATGCACGCCATTCACGATGTCAGTGGTGCTACTACTGCGAACACGAATTCGCTCTAATGACGAAGATCCAGATTTGCTCACTTGTCAGCAGGGACCTGGATCGGTCCAAACGTATCCTTCTCTTCACGGAACGCCATGCCGGAATATGCGCGTGAAAACAAGATCCGAGCTTGTTGATGTTGAGGTCCTGGGGAGGTAACAACCCTTCTGATAACCGTCCTCACCAAGTAGCTCATCTGGGACTACAGAAGAGCTGCTGAAGGTATTTATGACTCCCGTCCGAACCAACTCTAGAATCCTGTTTCCAAAATTGTGACTCGAGCCTGGCTGGTCCGTTTTGCACCAGAAAGGTAGATTTACCAACCAACCCGACAAGGCACGAATCTCACAGCAGCTGGATGCTTTCTAGAAACGGGTCTTCCTTCCCCTATGCGGGGAACTCAGGATCTTCCTGTAATTGAGGAATCAGTGGTGTGTTGCCCCAGGCGTAAGCCAATAGCTGAGCTGGAAGCATGTGCCACAGAGTCATCGGGTGCTGACTCACTTCCTTGTTGGAGAGAAGGGAGGTTCGAGGGGAGTGTGACGGAGAAGGCGGTCCCATTTGCCTGTATGATGCGATTGAGCATATATACACAGAATATTGTGTTAGCTTACGTCCCTAACCTGTCATAGATGCAAATACAAAATACCATACATTTTATACCTTTTCTGGGTGCCGTTAACAATAGGTAAAAAATATATTTATTTTAATTATTAAACAATTCCACTCCAGTGTTCAGCACGGAAACCATGCATGCATACTGATATCATATCACAAGTATGATCTTTAATATAATTAAACCCTTTTTGGTCTTCTGCCATATATAAATGTTATCGTAAATTTCAATGCACGCCAAAATTATTCAGCTTCTCAAGCTCCACCTGTAGAGCAAACTTGTTTTGTTTATAGGTTGACACCATGTTATGCACCTCAATAGCAGGTGCGCTGTACCATACATGCAGAAACTGGATCACATTCGAGGGCCTTCAGACAAAGCGAACCCCACACACCAGTCCGCCACTTTCAAGGTTTTAGTTCTGCTGGTCTATCTCCTTGTTCCTAGCAAGTCCATCAGGCGCCGGCACCACTTGGTTCTTCCTCCTCCACGATTCGTAATACTTGCCGATTATTGTGAAGGCATCGGATTTATTCAGGATTTTTTTCGGGCAAGGTTAGCGACATGGCGTCGGAAGATCAGCCAGTGAAGATGGACGTGCATGGCGAAGGAGCTGTTGAAGCTGCAGCCGCGGACACCGGAGCAGCTGCGAATGACGATCCTATGGCCCAAGACGGGGCTGAAGAGAACGGATCTGCTGAAGCGGCTGCAGCTGCAGCCGCTGCAGCTGCTGCTGCAGCGGCCGTGGCGGAAGCAGCAGCGGAGGAGGAAGCGGCAGCGGAAGAGGCGGCTGCTGCCGCGGCTGCCCAGGCTGGCGCTGGTGACGACGCCACTGCAGCCGCGCCTGCTGCTGAGGGCGAAGCTGCTCCTGCCGTTGATGCTGCATCTGACGCTCCTGCTGCCGACGCTGGAGTTACCCCTGCTGCCGATGCTGCAGCTCCTGCCGCCGACGCTGCTGCGCCGGCTGCTGATGGTGCCGCGACCGCAGCCGCTGAGGCTGCTGCTGCTCCTGCAGCCGCTGAAGGTACTTCGACTTTTGTTATGTCGGCCGTAGCTTCCTCACATGCATACGCTTCTTATCACCTATTTGCTACAAAGCCATATTTTCTTCGCAAATCTCTGAAATGCATGTCTGGTTATTCCAAACATGATTGCGTGCTTTGTCTGGACTAATCCGGTATTTGCTCCTGTCCATCGTGTGTTTCTGTCCGTTCCGCATCGCAGTTCCTGCAGCGCCGCCGGCGCCGACGGAGGAGGACCGGCTATGGGGTCTGGTTCGCGCCAACTCGGGGGACTTCGAGTCCTGGGTCGCGCTCATTCAGGAAAGCGAGAAGTCGGTACGTCCTCCATTCCACAACCCGGTGACGGTCCCTGTTGTTCTTGCTCCCCCCATCCCGCCTTCCTTTAAAATGTGTTTTTTCCTGGCATCTATCCGTTCAGACTGACGCCTATTTGTGTCGGATCTTGCGAAACATAAATTATGGCTGCCGTCATATCTTGCCTGAACAAATGCTCCATCAATCTCACGCTCTAACATCCCTTTTCTTCGTCCATTCCAGGACAAGCTCGAGGGCCTGCGCGCAGTGTACGACACGTTCCTGGCGGAGTTCCCGCTGTGCTTCGGGTACTGGAAGAAGTACGCGGACCACGAGCAGCGCCACGGCAACAAGGAGCGCGTGCTGGAGGTGTTCGAGCGCGCCGTGGCCGCCGTGCCGTACAGCGTCGACATCTGGCTGCACTACGTCAACCACCTCACCGCCACCGTTGAGGACCCCGAGGAGATCCGCAGGTGCACTTCCGAATCCCTCTCGACTGGTTTCTTTTCTCGCCGTGGCAGCTTTCATGAACGTCATGTTTGGAGTTTCGTCCGTCGAAGGCGAGTGTCGCGCCTCTTCCGTTATTTCCGTGCTTGCACGCCTTGAGCACAGCGGAACGCATTCGGGCTTTTTATAAGCATTATTGGAGTCTCTGATCCCTCCAACCCTAAATTCCTATCCATCCTCACCCCCTTGGTTCCTGTGACCCCATCACCAAGGCTCGCAGCCGAGACCCTCAGGGTGTAAGTATCGCGATTTTCACATGTTTTAAACCTAATTCCTTTTGTACCGATAGCTTTTCCCCGTCTTTAGTGTTTCGTTCGTTGGTCGCCGCAGCTGCTTCTGCTGCCGCTAACCTCCTCCCTGTGTTTAATGCAGATCCGCGCGAGCGTGGGAGAAACTCCTTTCCCTTCCCCCGGTTCCCCATTGTCTCCCCTCCCCTCCCCTCTCCGTCCTCCCTGGCGCGATTTCCGCTGCCTTTACAAGTCGCGTCGCCGTTCTGTCCTGTTTAATTATGCTTTTATAGCTTCCGTTTATTCATCGCGTAGAGTTTTTTTTCCTCTCGGCTCGCTTGATCCGTTCACTATAATCGATGCCACGCTGTCTAAAATCTGCTCACGTCTGCTTCCTGAGCCTTGTAACGAATTCGCGTCAAAGATCGGCCACCGCCTAACCACCTAGCGGTCTTTACGGGCAGCCGGGCAGGCAAACGATAAAGGAATCCGATTGGCCGCGCTGGCGCAGGAAAGAGGTAAAAGAAACCATCGCCTGACCATCGGTCTGCAAGCAGCAGCGATGACGTGGGTCCAATTCAGTATAATCCGCTTTCCGTCCTCTTTACAAGAAGCCTCGTTGCTCGGTTCGGGCTGTGAGTGCCAAGTTTCGCCTGGGGGTCCGGTTTTCTACACAGCTCTCAACTTTCCTCTCTCCCCTTATGTCCCTCAACACACAAACGAAACTCTTTTCTGCCCCCCGTTTCCCTATCACCGTTGGATAGTTCGTCCCTTTCCCTCGCCTGACAATCTCTCTGTTTTCATGCGCATGTGTGCTGTGCGGTGCTGGTGTGTGGGGGGAGGGCGGGGGGCGGGCTGCGGGGTGGGCTGCGGGGTGGGCTGTGGGGTGGGATTGGGAAAGGGGTGTGGGGGAGGAGGGGGGTGTGCGTGTGTGTGCGCGCTTTATCTGTGTGTGTGCGCGCGCAGGCTGTTTGAGCGCGCGCTGGTGTACGTGGGGACGGACTACGTGTCGCACACGGTGTGGCAGAAGTACCTGGACTTCGAGGGCGCGCGCAGCGAGTGGAGCAAGGTCGCCGCCATCTACACGCGCATGCTGCAGGTGCCGCTGCAGCAGCTCGACCACTACTACCACGCGTGAGTGGGAAGGCGAGGAGAGAGAGGGGTTCTGAGGAGCATGGGAATGAGAGAGAGTGTAGAGGTCAGGTCAAGTTTGCCATGCCATCTGCACGCGCATGCTGCAGGTGCCGCTGCAGCAGCTCGACCACTACTACCACGCGTGAGTGCCTGGATAAGGAGCGTCAGGGGTGCACGGAGGAGTGGTAGACTAGTTTTGAGGCGCCTCAAAACTAAACAGGGGTGCTTAAGGAGAACGGAGGAGTGGTAGACTAGTTTTGAGGCGCCCGAAGAATCCGCACGCACCCATCCGGTTCTGTCCCCCCCCCTCCCCGCCCCTCTAACCCGTCTCCCGCGTCCCCCGCACCCCTCGCCCTTCTGGCCCCTCAGTTTCCGCCACTTCGCAACGACGCACACACCCATCCGATTCCCTCTCCCCCCTTCCTCGCCCCTCGCACCCATGCCCCCCCTGACCCCTCAGCTTCCGCCACTTTGCAACGACACACACGCTCGACGAGATCCGCACGCCCGAGGAATCCGCAGCAGCCGCAGCAGAAGTTGCCGCCGCTGCTGCGGCCGCCCTCAAGGTGCAGACAGTTGTCCCCGCCCAGCCAGCAGGGGAGGACAGCACTGCTGCTCCAGGCGCAGAGGAGGCCAAGGAGGGAGAGGGTGAGGCTAAGGCAGCAGAAGGCGACGCTGCTGCTGCCGGCGCTGATGCTGCTGCTGGTATGGGTGCTGATGCTGCTCCAGGAGCCGAGGCCACCATGGCCGATGCTGCTGCTCCTGGTGACGCTGCCACTCCCGCTGCCACTCCCGCTGCCGCTCCCGCTGCCGCTCCTGCCGCAGTCCCCACCCCCGCCCCGCCGCCTGCCTCCGCGCCTGCGCCAGTGCCAGTGGCGAAGACAGAGGAGCAGCAGCTGGCTGAGTACCTGGCGCTGAGGGACGTGATGTACCAGAGCAGCAAGCGGCGCGATGGGGAGATAAGGGAGTACGAGGTGGTGATCAAGCGCCCGTACTTCCATGTGAAGCCGCTGGACGAGGCGCAGCTGAACAACTGGCACCGCTACTTGGACGTCACAGAGAAGGAGGGCAACATCGCACGGGTGAGTGGAGGGTGTTCCGGGCAGTGGCAGGGTGCATGGGGGATTCGGGGATCGTGAATGGTCGGGACGAAGCCGGATGGCTGTACCTGCACCCGTCGTTGTCGGCCCATCCCATCTCTCCTCGCTCTTGCCTGTCTGTCACTCCCAGCCCTACCGTGTCTACTTGCCCTCCTCTTCCATGAGCCCTTGTCACTCACTCACTCACACTGGTTTTCTCTTGCCCATCCATGCCTCGCACTTCCTGGTTCCTCAACACCATCAAAGTGTACATGTGCTGTGTGTGTGTCCAATCCAACTTACCAGATGCGACTGCTGAACCAACCCACACGTCTGCTGCTGATCTCTCTTTTCTATGCTTTCTCTCCCATTCCTCATTCCCCATTCCCGCCCTATCTCCTGTTACCCATTCCCGATCATTCCATCCTCCCATCCCCCCATCCCCCGTTCCCCATCTCCATCAGACCATAAACATCTACGAGCGCTGTGTGGTGCCGTGTGCCAACTACCCCGAGTACTGGGTGCGCTATGTGGAGTGCATGGATGCCAATAACGAGGATGAGAGGGCCAGGGACGCGCTCCTCAGAGCCACTGCCGTGTTCGTCAAGGTGGGTCATTTTGAGGGGGAGAAAGAGGGCGAACAAACAACTGAGGCCTTCTGCCTTGTTTCCTGATTTGGAATGTCACAGTATGCTATGTTATTTTCTTTAAGTCGTCTCAAATGAGAATATCCCCAGGTGTGTCTGCCTCCCTCGGTGCTCTCTCACCTGTATTGTCTTCTTGCCACCGCTCCACACCTCCTTCTGCCCCTCTTTTCCCTTGACAGCGCCGCCCGGAGATCCACCTGTTTGCCGCCCGGTACAAGGAGCAGCATGGGGACGTGAAGGGTGCCACGTCAGCGCTGGACACGGCTGCATCGCTGGCAGCGGGCCTGCTGGAGCTGACGGTGCAGAAGGCCAACCTGGAGAGACGACAGGTGAGGTGCTGGTGAGGTGGCGAGGTGGTGGTGGAGGGCAGGAAATGCGAGGGTTACAGTTGGGTTGGGAGAATGCGGAGATCGTGTGGTTGTTTCAGATGAATTCACAATGTTTTGACATTAGTCCATCAGTTCATGTTTCCACCGACATTCAGTGATTGTGTTTCCTTCATCCTTTGCCCTGGCAGGCTGGTGTTGCGGCGGGGGCAGCAGTGCTGGAGGCAGCAGTGCAGGTGGAGAAGGAGAAGGAGGGGTCCAAGATCCTGCCCTATCTGCACCTGCAGCACGCTCGCTACCTGCTCACTGTAAGCCCTCTGCTGCCGGTTGTTATTAGCACATTCGTTGTGAGCCCCTGTTGTGCATCCATAGAAGCACAGTCACTGCACCCTTCCGTCCTGAGACAGGGCCAGGGCGTTTATAGGGCACCATTCATGGGCTGGTGTTGCATTGTGTGTTGTGTGTGCTGAGCGGGGCCGGGCGGGGTGCAGGTGGGAGGAGAGGAGGACAAGGCTCGCGAGGCATTCAAGGCAGCGATTGACGCCGCACCTGACAACAAGACCATCTGGCAGGTGTGTAGTCAAGAGCTGTGTTTGTTGGCGGGTGCTTGACCTGCACGCATTGTGACTGGCTGGTATCTGGCCAGGCCGGTCCACATGCACAGTTTCAGCGTAGGCGCAGTTTGTGCGTTTTGCAGTCCTTTACCAGTAGCTTCACCATCTAATTTTGTCTTGTCTCCACACCTGCCCCTCCCTTTCCCTCTCCCCGCCGCACATCCTGCCATGACCAGGCGGCCATATCCTTTGAGGCGTCGCTGCCGGGCGCATCACCGTCGGTGCGCATGGGGCGAGTGGAAGCGCTGGTGGCAGATGCACTGGGCAGAGTCAAGGCGGATAACACTCCGCTGCTCTTCGCTGCTGACCGCGAAGACATTTCCACCATCGCCGTGGAGGTGAGGGGAGCTTGTTTTATTTCTTTTGATGGCTGGGTGCGGGAGAGGCAGAGGGGCGAGTGGAAGCGCTGGTGGCAGATGCACTGGGCAGAGTCAAGGCGGATAACACTCCGCTGCTTTCTGCTGCTGACCGCGAGGACATCTCCACCATCGCCGTGGAGGTGAGGGGAATTCTCCCTTGACGGCTGACTCAGTTTGAGGGCTAACTGGGTTTGAAGGCTGACTGATGCAGGCTTCAATGCGCTTGGGTCTTTCCACCTTTCCTAGTTCTTCCTGCATGTGTCGTCACTTTCCTTTCTCACATTCTCCACATTCCTCCTCTCGCTTCCATCCTACCATCCTACTCCCTCTCTCCCCCCTATTCTCCCTCCCTTGCACCTCCATCCAGCTAGCGGATCTCTTTGGGGACACAGCAGCAGTGAAGCAAGCAGCAGCGCGCCACCGCTCCCTCTTCCCCTTCAAGCGCCCCACCGCCGCCGCCACCACCGCCGCTGCCGATTCACGCAAGCGCACCCACCCAGACGGCACCTCCTACCCCGACCGAGCCGGGGGCTACAAGCACCACCGCGCCTCTGCCCCTTCCTCCAACTACTATGGCGCTGCGGGCGCCGGTGGTTACGGTGGAGCAGCGGGAGGGGGATATGGGGGGTACGCGGGGCAGAGGCAGCAGGGCGCGTGGCAGCAACCGGCAGCTGCTGCTGCAACGCCGGCGTCACCTGCTGCTGCTGCTGCGGCGCCGGCTGCGGCTTCTTCGCCTGCCCAGCAGGGGCAATGGGGGGCGTATGGGCAACAGGTGAGAGCTCTGGCACAGGGGAAGTGGTTGGGTTACTGGAGGGGAGCGGAAGGATGGGATGGCAGGGAGGGGGTGTTATGATATTGTCTGGCCGGTTTTTAGGCTGTAAGCATGTAATCCTATCTTCTGTGTGTCTAACTCGTTACTCCCCTCTCCTTCCTGTGTTTACCCCATGCTGCTTGGCCTGTGTGACTGCCCCTCATCTCTGGGCCTGACCCCTCTTTCATCCCTGCAGGCGTATTCTGGCTATGCTGGCTACGGCGGTTACTCTGCCGCCCCTGCTGCAGCTGCTGCTGCTCCTGCTGCGCCCCAGGCTGCTGCTTCTGGATATGGGGCGTATGGGCAGACATATGCACAGGTATGAGGCATAAGGGTAGGCATGTGCACAGGTATGGAGCGTATGGGTATGTGGCACAGGTATGGAGCATAAGGGTGTGAGGCACAGGTATGGAGCATAAGGGTGTGAGGCACAGGTATGGAGCATAAGGGTGTGAGGCACAGGTATTGTGTGAAGAGGGAAAGGGGATATGGGTGCAAGTCAAGGAAATCGTCACTGATATATTTTTATGCTCACAAATGCATTCTGTGCTCCCTTCATCCCCATCCCATCCTGCTCCTCTCACAGCAGTACCCTCAGTCTGGCTATGCTGCTGCACCAGCTGCTGCTGCCGCCCCTGCCGCTGGTGCCACAACAGGGTACTATCAGCAGGGTTACTACGCCCAGTGATTTTCGGTTCCTTTCAGAAACGAGCTGCATTGATGGATGATTTGAGTGGTGGAACCTTGGCGTTGTATTGTATCTGAAAGTTGCCTTGGTTGAGTTGGAATAATTCGTGTGTGAAGGAACGCATTTAGGGAGCTCTTAAATTGCTATATAACGTGTTTCACGAACCAAGTGTAGTTAGCAACCAGCTGATTACCACTGAAGATTGACGGGAAGCATTGTTGTGAGTTTCGATGTTCCCGTCCGTCAGTTCTCGTCGTCAGTCTTCGGCCGTCTTCTTTGTCAGGCATCATCCATCCCTCCCTCCGCCTTCCTCTCCACTCTCGGCTGTCATCTCCCTTCACATTCCTCTCTCGCATTTCTGTTCAGCTAACTCTTTCATCCTGCCACCGACCCGCAAGACCCGCTTGCCTCAAGTGACTTGCTACTCCTGCGTAGCATATTCGCCGGTGCTGGATAGCAGCGAACGACGGTAGCATGACGGGCGACGAGCGAGCCGCGCTGTCGACGTAGAGCTAGCAGAACGGTGCTGAGGGAATTCTCGGCGCGCGGTGCTTCGAGCCCGTGACGTTAGCAGTGCTCGAGTCTGTCATATGTTCGCGATTAGGTGCAGTTAATCCCATAGTAGTGTACGTCCCTACACCAACCGACACGTGGCGCGTCGAGAGTCCCGTAGTTCTAGCGGCAACACACCGTAATCCGAGTGTCTCGTATTTTCACATCTTTATTTTCCGAGTCAACTCAAAAAGTTATACTACTAGCTGCGATACGGTTTTCCCATAGTTCTTCGCTGTGTTTGTGCGTGTTCGCCCAGCATGGTTACCGCCTCAACTACCGTTACCCGAGCAGCCCTTCAGAACGCTGAGCGCGTTCTCCGCCAATGGCATTCCGACACGTCATCATACGGCGGCGGAAGCAGCGCGAGCAGCCGACCCTCCTCCCGCAGCAGCACGCGCTCCGCGTCCTCCCAGACTCCCAGTGACACGTCAGCAGCAAGCCTCCGCCTATGGGAAGGCTCGAGCGTCCACGTGGATGCGTACCTGCAAGCCCTAGATTCCGTCCAATCCGTGATCGACACGTGCGAGTCGGGCAGATACGGCGGAAACAGCAGCGAAGCTGCCGAGATGCTTCACCGAGCTAAGTGGTTCGCGGCCGCGGCGCGGCCGTGGTTAGAGCAGGGATTTTGGTACGTCCTTAAAGCGCATTCTAAGCCGCTAGAACCGGAGGCGGTTTACCAAGCCGCGTCTAAGAGCCGAACAGGCGGCAGCAGCGGCGGCAGCGCGAGGGGGTCCAAGGGAGGCTCGGACGGCGGACCGTACCTGATGCAGCCCCATGCTGCGGTGCAGGTTCGGGAGGTGGCTCGGCGGATGGTGCAAGCTGGTTTGGGACAGACGTGTCTGGAGACTTACCGCGCAGTTCGGAAGCAGGTACGGGGCAGGTATGGGGCGAGAAGGTGAGAGGGTGGACGCGAACGGCGGTTTGTAGAGGGCGAGAGGTGAGGGAGTGAGGGAGACGAGAGGGTAGCGACAAAAGCGGGAACGGTGTGTGGCTACGTAGGTTCCAGCGTCATCGTGCCGTCGTTCTGAGTCTACTTTCAAATCACTCCAGTCTGGTGCCTTCCACGCTCGCATCGAGCGCACCCTCGTCCCCATCGCCCCGCCTCCACGTGTTTGACAGGACGCTTGAGCAGCTTGCAGCGGGGCAGTTCCGGCCCAAAAAGAGCAGTGAGAGCAACACACCCCCCCTCTCTTCCCCCCGTTGTCACACTCCCCGCGCCCTTCCCCCCACACACAGGCCTTAGACAGGACGTTAGAGCAGCTGGCAGCGGGGCAGTTCCGGCCGGAGGACATGGGCGGCGTGCGGTGGGAGGCGCTGGAGGAGCGCGTGAAGGCGTGGATGCAGTTTGCCCGCCTGGCCGTGCGCGTGGTGCTGCTGGCTGAGAGGCGACTCTGTGACTCCGTGTTCCAAGGGCAGGGCAATGTGAGTGCGGGAATGGGGAAGGGGGGAAAGGGGGAAGGGGGGAAAGGTGAAGGCGTGGATGCAGTTCGCCCGCCTGGCTGTTCGTGTGGTGCTGCTGGCGGAGAGACAGCTGTGTGACTCGGTGTTCCAGGGGCAGGGGAATTTGAGTGCTGCGTGGGGGAAGGGAGAAAGGGAGGGGAGCGGATTGAAGGGGAAGGGAGGGAAAGGGTGAAGGCGTGGATGCAGTTCGCGCGGCTGGCCGTGCGCGTGGTGCTGCTGGCTGAGAGGCGGCTGTGCGATTCCGTGTTTCAGGGACAAGGCAATGTAAGTGCGGCGTGGGGCCAGGGAGGGGAAGGGGAAGGGGAAGAAAGGGTGAAGGCGTGGATGCAGTTCGCCCGCCTGGCTGTGCGCGTGGTGCTGCTGGCTGAAAGAAGGCTCTGTGACTCGGTGTTCCAAGGGCAGGGCAATGTGAGTGCGGGAATGGGAGGGTGGGATGGGTGGAGTTTTGCGAGTGAGAAGGGAGGAGCGTCCCTCTGTCTCCTTGACACGACCGTCTCAAATCAAATCCTGTTTTTCAATCTATTCTGCCTCCCTGTCCCAAACAGCATCCCCTGAACCCCTGACCCCTGCACCTTGCCTCTTGCCCGCCTGCCTCCCTCCACATCAGTTGGAGGAGATGTGATTCCACGAGGTGGCGCCATCCGCAGTGCGATTCCTAGTTCCCCCCTTACAGAGGCTTTGCTTTGACTCCCCCTCCCCTTCCCCCCCTTCTTCCCCTTCAGCTGGCGGAGATGTGTTTTCACGAGGTGGCATCATCAGCGGTGCGATTCATATTCGCCTTTGCCAACGCCTTCGCTCTCGACAAGTGCCTGCGGAGCGACTCTTCCCCCCTGTGCCCCTGTGCCCCTGTGCCCCTGTGCCCCTGTCCCACTTCCACTAACCTCTTTTTCCACCCATCAGCTAGCGGAGATGTGTTTCCACGAGGTGGCGTCATCCGCAGTGCGATTCATATTCGCCTTTGCAGAGGCCTTTGCTCTCGACAAGCGCCTGGCGGAGCGCCTCTTCTCCATGCTCGACCTCTACGAGATCATGGCGGGCCTCAGGCCTGACTTTGATGCCGCGTGTAAAGGTGCGGTGGGGTTGTGTGCGGTGGGGTGCGGTGGAGTGGTGGTGTGGGTTGGCGTGGGATGGTGGTGATTCAATAGCCCTAGCCACGCCTGGCGGAGCGGCTCTTCTCCATGCTGGACCTCTATGAGATCATGGCCGGCCTCAGGCCTGACTTTGATGCCGCATGCAAAGGTGCGGTGGGGTTGTGTGCGGTGGGGTGCGGTGGGATGGGCTGGGGTGTGTGGTGTGGTGGGCTGGCGGAGCGCCTCTTCTCCATGCTCGACCTTTACGAGATCATGGCGGGCCTCCGCCCTGACTTTGATGCCGCATGCAAAGGTGCGGTGGGGTTGTGTGTGGTGGGGTTGTGTGCGGTGGTTGTAACCTGCACGGGTCTGAGGGACGAGTTCGCCCTGGTTGTAACTCGCCTTGAGAACGCCATCAAAGCCATCAACGCCATCAAAGCCATCAACGCCATCAATGCCATCAACGCCATCCTCACCCACTTTGAATCCGGCATTGAGAGCGACGCTTCAGACATCCACCCCCCTCCCTCTGCTCCCCTCCCCTCACCTCTGGGCAGGGGACGGCCCCTGCACGGGCTTCAGGGACGAGTTCACCCTGGTGGTGACTCGCCTGGAACACGCCAACAGCGCCATTCTCACCCACTCTCTGCTCCCCTCCCCTCGCCCCTCCTCACCCCTCTTCACCCCTCTCCGTGTGTGGCTGCGGGGGCAGGGGATGGTCCGTGCACGGGTCTGAGGGACGACTTCACGCTGGTGGTGACTCGCCTGGCAGAAGCCATCAGCGCCATCCTCACCCACTTTGAAACGGGCATCGAGAGCGACGCCTCGGACATCCAACCCCCTCCCCTCCCTCTCTCCCCCATGGTGTGGCAGGGGACGGCCCCTGCACAGGTCTGAGGGACGACTTCACGCTGGTGGTGACTCGCCTGGCAGAAGCCATCAACGCCATTCTCACGCACTTTGAAACGGGCATCGAGAGCGACGCTTCAGACATCCCCGCCACCGCCACCATCCACGGGCTCACACGCTACGTTGTCAACTATGTGATTCTGCTCTTTGAGTACAGAGATTCGCTCACGAGGCTGTTTAAACGAGGCGATGCTGCTGCTGCCGGGAAGATTCACAAGCTGGTTGCTTCGAAGAAGAAGGGAGGGGGAGGGGGAGGGGGAGGGGGAGGAGGGAGGGATGGGAGCGGGAGGGACGGGGGGAGGGGAGAAGGTGGGTTGGAAACGCCGAGCGCATCGAGTGGGAGTGAGATGAGTGGGAGCGGCGGGGAGGGGAGTGGGACCGAGGGGAGTGAGAGTGAGAGCGAGGAGGAGGACGAGGAGGAAGCAAGGAGGCGGGAGCAGGCAAGGAAAGAGGCGCGGAAGGGGTTCAGAGGGGCGGGGGTGCCGGAGTATGCAGGGCTGGGGCGCAAGGTGGTGTGGCAGCTGGCGGTGCTGGAGGGGAATCTGCAAGGCAAGGCGAGGCAGTACCGGGACCCTGCTCAAGGGGAGGTCTTTCTGCTCAACAACATTCACTACATGGCACGCAAGGTGCGTTTTTTTTTTTTTTTTTTTTTTTTTTTTACAACATCCACGGTTTTATGTTTGCCTGCTTCTTGTTCTGAATATGAGGTGTTTCTGCTCAACAACATCCACTCCATGGCACACAAGGTGCGCTCCCTTTGTCAGGGGCATTTCTGGATGCACTCTTTGCTTTTTGCCGGATACGCTCGCTCAACTCCCAACCCTCTTCTTCTCGCCCCGGTAGGTCAAGGAATCTGACATGCGCGTGGTGGTGGGGGACGACTGGGTGCGGCGACAGGCAGCGTTGGTGAGGCAGCATGCCAGCGAGTATCTGCGCTTCTGCTTCTCCCGCCTCTCCTACACTCTGCGCATCGACCCCTCCACTCAGCTGCACAAGAGCACACTCAAGGTAGGCTTAATTCCTCCCGTTGGTGAGGCAGCACGCCAGCGAGTATCTGCGCTTCTGCTTCTCCCGCCTCTCCTACACTCTGCGCATCGACCCCTCCACTCAGCTGCTCAAGAGCACACTCAAGGTAGGCTTAATTCCTCCCGTTGGTGAGGCAGCACGCCAGCGAGTATCTGCGCTTCTGCTTCTCCCGCCTCTCCTACACTCTGCGCATCGACCCCTCCACTCAGCTGCACAAGAGCACCCTCGAGGTGAGCCTAGCTCTTTTTTCCGGTCGTAGGCTTCACGCGTACGTATCTGTGTTTCTATCTCTGCTCTGCCTCCTACACGCTGTGAGTCGACCCCTCCATGCAGCTGCACAAGAGCACTCTCAAGGTGAGGTTATCTCTTTCCTCCGGTCGTAGGCTTCACTCGTTTGTGTCTGTGTCTGTGTCTGTGTCTGTGTCTGTGTCTGTGTCTCTGTCTCTGTCTCTGTCTCTGTCTCTGTCTCTGTGTCTCTGTCTGTGTCTGTGTCTGTGTCTGTGTCTGTGTCTGCGCCTGCGCCTGCGCCTGCGTCTGCGTCTGCGTCTGCGTCTGTGTCTGTGTCTGTGTCTATCTCTGTCTCTGTCTCTCTGCTCTCCCACATTAACGCTCCGAGTCGACCCCTCCTAGTCCCACAGCTGCACAAGAGCACACTCAAGGTGAGACAGGAAGGAGGAAGTCTATTGTTCCTCCCTTGCTCACTCCATCCTTTGTCCACTCTGCTGCTCTATCTTCACATTACTCTCACCAAGGCCTGCATCCGCATTCTCCCCTGCATCCGCATTCTCCCCTGCATCCGCATTCTCCCCTGCATCCGCATTCTCCCCTGCATCCGCATTCTCCCCTGCATCCGCATTCTCCCCTGCACCCACGACTCTCCCCTGCAACTCTCAGGAGAAATTTAAGGCCTTCAACATACCGTACTGATGGAGGAGATTCATCGAGACCAAACACGGTGGCTTGTCAACCCGGGCCCGCTGCGGGACGAATTACGACTGGCGGTGAAGCAGCGTGTGCTCGCGCCCTACACCGACTTTTATCTCGCTTACAAGCATGTCATGGAGGCGTCGAGGCACCCGGGGAAATACCTGCGGCATGATCCTGTGGAGGTTAACGAGATGCACCCAATCCTGCCCCCTTCGTCCTGCTCCCTCCATCATGCACCCACAAATCCACCCTCTCAGGAGAAATTCAAGGCGTTCAACATCCTGTTGGAGGAGATTCATCGCGACCAAACCCGGTGGCTTGTCAACCCGGGCCCGCTGCGGGACGAGTTACGACTGGCGGTGAAGCAGCGTGTGCTCGCGCCCTACACCGACTTTTATCTCGCTTACAAGCATGTCATGGAGGCATCGAGGCACCCGGGGAAATACCTGCGGCATGATCCTGTGGAGGTTAACGAGATGGTTCTGGACCTTTTTGTAGGGTATCAAGGGCATTAGACTTTTGTGTATTTCAATTGCTTATTGAAAGAAATGTAGCATGTGAGCTTCCTTTCCTACTCAACATACAGATAAATGTACTCGATGATGAACAACTTCATAACGAAGCAGAAGATTCGCTTTTCGTTCGCTCAAGCAGATCTTTCCACTTACTGGAAGTACCGACAGTCAGTCCTCGTTTTTTTCCGCATTCGCCACCATAGCCCTCGAATAGTACGCGCGGGGAAGCACATGGGGCGGGGGGAGGCGGCGGACGGGGGCCTGCGCCGGCAGCAGCAGGAGCGCGCGATTGCTGACGTCATGGGGACGGGGGAGCTGCGCGCCGCTGTGGTCGACGTGGCACGCGCGCTCATCGCCGCCGACGCGAACGACCCCGGTACGGGCGGTAACCGTCGTTGCGCGCACTGCTCTCGGCGCATGGCTCATGGCGCATGCCTCATCAGGCCTCCCCTCCTCAGGCCTCCTTTTCCCCGCGCCGTTCTTCTCCGCATCCGTCTTGCGCGGTTTCCGCCTTCCCTGCTTTACTTCCCCCCCCCCGCGCGCCTTTTTCCCCCTCTACAGCGGCGGCGGAGCGCGCGCAGCAGCGCAGGTTAGCGGCGGGGAGCGGCGGCGGCGGGCGTTCCGCAGCCTGTGGTTCGACTTCCCGTCCGCGCAGCCGCGCGATCTGGCTGCGCTCGCTGCCGCTATCAGGTGGGGGGAAAAGAAGGGGAAGGGGGAAGGGGAGAAGGGGAGGGGGGCATGCTAGGAACGAGGAGCATGGGCCATGGGGCATGGAGCATGGGGCATGGGGCATGGGGCATGGGGCATGGGGCATGGGGCATGGGGCATGGGGCATGGGGCATAGCATGTGTACGGACTATCATGAAGAGAGAATGGTGGACGAGGGGATGGGGTGGGAGGGAAAACTGGGATGTGCATAGGGGAATCAGGTGGTAGTGGCTTCAATTTGTTCTTTGCGTGTCTGTTTGTCCGCACATGCACACATGCACACATGCACACATGCATGCATATCTCTGTCCGTGCAGAAAGCAAGTGGACCTGATTCCATCCACAGGCAGCAGCAGCAGTGGCAGCAGCAGCAGCAGCAGCAGCAACACCACTACCAGCAGTGGCACCCCGTCCTTCCCCATCACAAGCCGGTTCCTGTCCGGCCTCTCATACGTTGCTGCATCCGCGCTCAAGGCACAGCCGGGCGGAAGCAGCACACCCGCCAGCAACTCAGCTCCTGCAGCAGCAGCAGGGGAAGGAGGGAGGGAAGGACCAGTTGTGGCAGCAGGGGTGGGGGGAGGGGACACTGGGGCGGGGGAAGAGGAGCAGGGGGCAGCAGGCAAGCAGCTTGCAGACGCTGCTGCTCAAATTTCTGGTGGGTTTCGCTGTCTGGTTTCGGTGACCCCTTAGATGCACCAATCAACAACTTGCTTTCACCACCGCCGACTTTTCCCACAGACAGCTCGCCCATTGTTTCCTCCTTGATGCTGCGCCTCTCACCACCACCCCCTTCCCCCCCTTGTGACTTGGATGTCATTGAACGTCCTGGTAGCTTGCGCTGCTTCTTCTCTCTCATGCCTTCGTTGGACTCTCCATCGTTTCATTCTCTCTCTTGGCTGCTTCTTGCAGCTTCTCTCCTGGTGACGCTGCCCATAAACTGTTTCAAGCTGCCCGGCGACGCTGGAGTGAAGGCGTTCGCAGCTGCCCTCTCCTCCTTGCACCTCGACCCTCCGGAGCTTCCCGCCCCTCCTGCCGAGCCTGCTGCCGAACCTCAGTCAAATGAAGCCAGAGCTTCGGGAAACGGGGCTAGTGTGACTAATGAACCAGGCCCGGCAGTGCATGAAGCAAATGGAAGCAGCACTATGGGTGCTCCTGATGAGGTTCATGGTGTGGTTGTTGACGCACAGGGGGAGGCAAATGACCATGCAGACTCAGACGGTATGCTCCTTTACTGGGTGGCTGGGTGGGTTTTCAGGCGCCTCAAAACTCGTTTCGTCGCATGCGGATCTAGTCGGTATGTTTCTGATTGGGCGGGGTTAAATGCTGAAGTAGCTTTGCTCCTTCCCTCTCTCACGCTCGCCCCCTGGACCTCCTCACCAACCCAGCCTCCCCCCATTCCACTTCCTCGATTCTGATTCCGCCTACTCTCCCCCTGCCCATCCCACTACCCCGTCGTCCCGTTCTGTTCCCATTGCACCTTCTCAGAAGCATCTGATGCCTCGGATTGGCTCCCCCTAGAAGACGAATCTCTCTCGTCGCCTCCCACCCTAGACCATCACCACCAACACCAGCAGCAGCCGCAGCACCAGCAACAGAGGCACGTAGAGGATGCCTCTGATTGGTCAGCTCTGCTTGCAAAATGGGCGGCGTTGGTCGGCAGCTTGCAGGGCACGCTTCCCGGCAGTGCTGACTCAGCGTGGGGGCAGGTGGGGATGATTGATGACGTGGCGAGGCTGGCTGTGCTGATAGACGCACAGCTAATCACAGACGGACATCCAGAAGGGAAGGTTGGCAGCCATACAAAAGGCACTGGGGATGGGGAGGGGAATGGTGTTGTGGAGAAGGGTGTGGGTGGAGATAAGCGTGTGGCAGAGGGAGGAGTGGGATGCGGTGCAGTGGGTGGTGAGAGTGCATACCCCGTGCTGCTATCCTTCATCTGGACCTTCTCTCCCTTAGACTGTTGCACCTCTGCTCTTCCTCCTCCTCCTCCAACCCTGCCACCGGTGCCAATGTGATATCACAGACAGTAGATGCCATTCACACTGCTGCCTCCTCCCCTCGCCTCTCCCTCCCTTCTTCCCTCTCCTCCCCCTCTCCACTCTCGAGCACTCCTCCCTTCAAGCCAACCCCCCCTGCACTCACAGCTACAGCTACCTCTCTCGCTCTCCTCTCGACCCTCATCTCTCAGCTCTCTGCCTCATCATCCCACAACGCGTCTGCAGCTAAGGGGAAGGACGAGCGTGGGGGGAAAGGGGGAGCCAGAGCACCAGGCTTGGCAGGAGGTTCGGAGGAGAAGATGGTTCGGCGGAAGGTTTGGGCGGCTGTGAACGCGTTTTGCCCTGGTTTGGGGGATCTGGTACAATGGGCATCGACCAATCATGCAGCAGCAGCAAGTGCCAAAGCAGCAGCAAACGCTACCATTGCAACAGGCACTGCTCAAGTCTTGATCCACTTGCAGCGGGTGTTGCTGTTCTGGATCCAATCCGCTGCCTCCTGCGCCCCTTCCCCTACTGTTGCTCGCACCGTTGGTGACTCGGCCATCAAGGTACGTGCTCATCACATTTGAGACGTCTCAAAAGCTGCTCATCACATTTGAGACGTCTCAAAAGCTGCTGATCACAGGCTCCATAATTTGAGGCGCCTCAAAACTAGACTTCTCACACGCGGTTCAAGGTACGTGCTGATCACTTTGAGACGTCTCAAAAGCTGCTGATCACAGGATCCATAATTTGAGGCGCCTCAAAACTAGACTTCTCACACGCGGTTCAAGGTACGTGCTGATCACTTTGAGACGTCTCAAAAGCTGCTGATCACAGGATCCATAATTTGAGGCGCCTCAAAACTAGACTTCTCACACGCGGTTCAAGGTACGTGCTGATCACTTTGAGACGTCTCAAAAGCTGCTGATCACAGGATCCATAATTTGAGGCGCCTCAAAACTAGACTTCTCACACGTGGTTCAAGGTACATGCTGATCACAGGATCGATAATTTCACTGCATTTGCACTGTTGGGTTTCGAGGTGACTTTTGAGTCGACTCAAAAGTCACCCGGCCATCAAGGTACGTGCTGATCACAGGATCCATAATTTCACTGCATTTGCACTGTTGGGTTTCGAGTCGAGGCTCTTACTAGAACGGTTGTGCCCCTTTCTCACTTGTTCTGTTCCCTTTGTATGTTCCCTTTCTCACTTGTTTTGTTCCCTTTGTATGTTCCCTTTCTCACTTGTTTTGTTCCCTTTGTATGTTCCCTTTCTCACTTGTTTTGTTCCCTTTGTATGTTCCCTTTCTCACTTGTTTTGTTCCCTTTGTATGTTCCCTTTCTCACTTGTTTTGTTCCCTTTGTATGTTCCCTTTCTCACTTGTTTTGTTCCCTTTGTATGTTCCCTTTCTCACTTGTTTTGTTCCCTTTGTATGTTCCCTTTCTCACTTGTTTTGTTCCCTTTGTATGTTCCCTTTCTCACTTGTTTTGTTCCCTTTGTATGTTCCCTTTCTCACTTGTTTTGTTCCCTTTGTATGTTCCCTTTCTCACTTGTTTTGTTCCCTTTGTATGTTCCCTTTCTCACTTGTTTTGTTCCCTTTGTATGTTCCCTTTCTCACTTGTTTTGTTCCCTTTGTATGTTCCCTTTCTCACTTGTTTTGTTCCCTTTGTATGTTCCTATGTTCCCTTGTATGTTCCCTTTCTCACTTGTTTTGTTCCCTTTGTATGTTCCCTTTCTCACTTGTTTTGTTCCCTTTGTATGTTCCCTTTCTCACTTGTTTTGTTCCCTTTGTATGTTCCCTTTCTCACTTGTTTTGTTCCCTTTGTATGTTCCCTTTCTCACTTGTTTTGTTCCCTTTGTATGTTCCCTTTCTCACTTGTTTTGTTCCCTTTGTATGTTCCCTTTCTCACTTGTTTTGTTCCCTTTGTATGTTCCCTTTCTCACTTGTTTTGTTCCCTTTGTATGTTCCCTTTCTCACTTGTTTTGTTCCCTTTGTATGTTCCCTTTCTCACTTGTTTTGTTCCCTTTGTATGTTCCCTTTCTCACTTGTTTTGTTCCCTTTGTATGTTCCCTTTCTCACTTGTTTTGTTCCCTTTGTATGTTCCCTTTCTCACTTGTTTTGTTCCCTTTGTATGTTCCCTTTCTCACTTGTTTTGTTCCCTTTGTATGTTCCCTTTCTCACTTGTTTTGTTCCCTTTGTATGTTCCCTTTCTCACTTGTTTTGTTCCCTTTGTATGTTCCCTTTCTCACTTGTTTTGTTCCCTTTGTATGTTCCCTTTCTCACTTGTTTTGTTCCCTTTGTATGTTCCCTTTCTCACTTGTTTTGTTCCCTTTGTATGTTCCCTTTCTCACTTGTTTTGTTCCCTTTGTATGTTCCCTTTCTCACTTGTTTTGTTCCCTTTGTATGTTCCCTTTCTCACTTGTTTTGTTCCCTTTGTATGTTCCCTTTCTCACTTGTTTTGTTCCCTTTGTATGTTCCCTTTCTCACTTGTTTTGTTCCCTTTGTATGTTCCCTTTCTCACTTGTTTTGTTCCCTTTGTATGTTCCCTTTCTCACTTGTTTTGTTCCCTTTGTATGTTCCCTTTCTCACTTGTTTTGTTCCCTTTGTATGTTCCCTTTCTCACTTGTTTTGTTCCCTTTGTATGTTCCCTTTCTCACTTGTTTTGTTCCCTTTGTATGTTCCCTTTCTCACTTGTTTTGTTCCCTTTGTATGTTCCCTTTCTCACTTGTTTTGTTCCCTTTGTATGTTCCCTTTCTCACTTGTTTTGTTCCCTTTGTATGTTCCCTTTCTCACTTGTTTTGTTCCCTTTGTATGTTCCCTTTCTCACTTGTTTTGTTCCCTTTGTATGTTCCCTTTCTCACTTGTTTTGTTCCCTTTGTATGTTCCCTTTCTCACTTGTTTTGTTCCCTTTGTATGTTCCCTTTCTCACTTGTTTTGTTCCCTTTGTATGTTCCCTTTCTCACTTGTTTTGTTCCCTTTGTATGTTCCCTTTCTCACTTGTTTTGTTCCCTTTGTATGTTCCCTTTCTCACTTGTTTTGTTCCCTTTGTATGTTCCCTTTCTCACTTGTTTTGTTCCCTTTGTATGTTCCCTTTCTCACTTGTTTTGTTCCCTTTGTATGTTCCCTTTCTCACTTGTTTTGTTCCCTTTGTATGTTCCCTTTCTCACTTGTTTTGTTCCCTTTGTATGTTCCCTTTCTCACTTGTTTTGTTCCCTTTGTATGTTCCCTTTCTCACTTGTTTTGTTCCCTTTGTATGTTCCCTTTCTCACTTGTTTTGTTCCCTTTGTATGTTCCCTTTCTCACTTGTTTTGTTCCCTTTGTATGTTCCCTTTCTCACTTGTTTTGTTCCCTTTGTATGTTCCCTTTCTCACTTGTTTTGTTCCCTTTGTATGTTCCCTTTCTCACTTGTTTTGTTCCCTTTGTATGTTCCCTTTCTCACTTGTTTTGTTCCCTTTGTATGTTCCCTTTCTCACTTGTTTTGTTCCCTTTGTATGTTCCCTTTCTCACTTGTTTTGTTCCCTTTGTATGTTCCCTTTCTCACTTGTTTTGTTCCCTTTGTATGTTCCCTTTCTCACTTGTTTTGTTCCCTTTGTATGTTCCCTTTCTCACTTGTTTTGTTCCCTTTGTATGTTCCCTTTCTCACTTGTTTTGTTCCCTTTGTATGTTCCCTTTCTCACTTGTTTTGTTCCCTTTGTATGTTCCCTTTCTCACTTGTTTTGTTCCCTTTGTATGTTCCCTTTCTCACTTGTTTTGTTCCCTTTGTATGTTCCCTTTCTCACTTGTTTTGTTCCCTTTGTATGTTCCCTTTCTCACTTGTTTTGTTCCCTTTGTATGTTCCCTTTCTCACTTGTTTTGTTCCCTTTGTATGTTCCCTTTCTCACTTGTTTTGTTCCCTTTGTATGTTCCCTTTCTCACTTGTTTTGTTCCCTTTGTATGTTCCCTTTCTCACTTGTTTTGTTCCCTTTGTATGTTCCCTTTCTCACTTGTTTTGTTCCCTTTGTATGTTCCCTTTCTCACTTGTTTTGTTCCCTTTGTATGTTCCCTTTCTCACTTGTTTTGTTCCCTTTGTATGTTCCCTTTCTCACTTGTTTTGTTCCCTTTGTATGTTCCCTTTCTCACTTGTTTTGTTCCCTTTGTATGTTCCCTTTCTCACTTGTTTTGTTCCCTTTGTATGTTCCCTTCTCACTTGTTTTGTTCCCTTTGTATGTTCCCTTTCTCACTTGTTTTGTTCCCTTTG